ATCTATCTATCTATCTATCTATCTATCTATCTATCTATCTATCTATCTATCTATCTATCTATCTATCGTAAAGTCTGACCTCTAGTGGAAACAACAAAGAACCACAGATTTACTTCAGCTCTACTTACAAAAACAGTTCACAGATCATGTGAAGATTTGTGAGAGGTTATGAGTAATAATTATCTTGCCTGCTTTAGATGGGACTCTAAACAACATCAAAAGTTTAAATCTTAAAATATCATCAATATTTAAAATAAGTTTTGTTGGCTTGTTAGTGAAATATCTTATGAACCACAGGACAAATTGAAAGGAGTTGCTTAGTTTTTTCTGCTTCTTTCAGCAGTKTTCTACAATTCAAGCTAGTTTTTAGCTACTTCGGCTAGTCTTTTTTGTTTTTAGCTACTTTCATCTTTTTGTGACCATATCAGCTTCTTACTGCTTAATTCAGCAAACATGCTCTTTCTGCTTTTTGGTGCTAGATTCAGCTTTTCAGCTTAAAAAAAAGCTAATTTCAGCTTCTTCTTTTTTTAGGCTATTTTACAGCAAATTTCAAGATTTTTGTGCATTTTTTTCTTGCAAAAATCTTTAAGCATGAAGAATTCAAAAATCTTTGGTTGTTTTTATATTTCCTGCTGCCATTGAAGCAGTTTTTTTTCCTTCTACTTAAAAAGTCACGATGCCAGGATATTAAAATCCAGAAAAATGTGAAGTGGTTCGTATATTTTTAAATAAAAATACATAAATCTGTTGCACTGCCAAAAATTGCCAAAGAATAAAACCTCCAAAAAAAGGCTTTTATCTTTCAAAAGATATTTTAATAACATTTTAAATACACACATGTAAACAAAACTAATGAGTTTATTCCAGTACTTGTATAAAAATTGCCAAATCTAGTTTTTATTTGGTGGCATTTGTTTACAAAAATAATTAAAATAACGACATTCTCAGTGTTCAATCTGTTTCTGCTTTGGGGCCAAGTTTCATCTTCCTTCATCATGTTTGATTTGTTGACCCAACACGAGGTTACAATATCAACAACAACAAAAACTAATTTAAAGTACAGAATATAAACAGATAAATGAAGGTTCTGTGTTTTTTGGGGTCTCACACAATTATTCACATCAATGAACMTGTTTGCCTCTACATGAAAGCTGTTAAACAGCAACATTGAAAATAAATTATTTTCTGTATTTAACTGCCTCGTTRGCAAAAATAACATATTAAACACACAGGTAATAAAATGTGATGAAAACCCTGGGCTTCTCTTTTCCCACCAGTAACCATGAAATGTGAACCTGATGATATTTGGAACAGCATTTGCATGAACCTTGATGACATTTTTGAGAGTGGGCTTGTTTTAAGATGGTGCAGATCCACTTTGGTCCCGGACTAACCATTACATCATCCATCTGGTTCAATCAAATTCCAGTTTTTTTCAAACTTAGGCAATTCAAAAAGCTGTCTTTGGTACATAAAATATTAACTTTTGATCCCCACTTCAAGAAACTGGTAAAGGCATTGCCTTTTTTTTTTGGCCACTTTAGTAGAAAACAAAACTGAATGCTTGTTTCTTAATTTCCGCATCATTTGTGACTTTTTTTTTTTCCTTTGGTAAAGGCATTGCTTTAAGAAAAAGAGAATCCTATAATCTTGGGTGTTGCCTTTATAATTAATTTGTAAAACATCTGTAGATTTGATGTGTGCCACAGCATTTGTTTTTGTTTAATATCCATCCAGGTCAGCATTGCATAGTAAGTGCTTTGGTATTAAAACAAATGCTTAGGAAAAACGTAAAACAGAATTTAAAAGTAGGGTCCATCTAGTCCTTTTGCTGCTCTAGGATCAGATCAAAAAGCACATTTATGTCCCTCTCTGCTTGGTGGCACTGCAGCACGAGCGTCACCATGTTGTTCTGACCCGGGAAAACACTCAGCAACTGCTCTCTGATGACAGCTGTTTCTTCAGTAGTCCTGTCCAGATTGGCGGTCATCTCGCCACCRACGCCTCCTTGACGCATGTGCTGGTGTCCTCCATTCCACCCTTTGCCATGTAGCTTCCCTCTGCCACGACCGCCTCCGCCGGACGCATCCAGAGCACCCCCGGGTGTCCGGTCGCGGAAGTTCAAGACTTCTGTTTGGGAGCGAGGTGGCTTGGTGGGTAAAAAGGGGGTGGCTAAACCAGCAAAGGAGTGATTTCCGGGATCAGGAGTCCTGACAGAATGCAAGTGATTTCAATCAGAAAACATATTTAATTCATCATATAAGAACTTCCACATCATAGGTCTTTGTTACCTGTGCTCTGAACGCAGAAAATCATCCAGGTGAGGCCCTCCCCTGCCCAGAGGATCGTCCGGGACCATGAAGTGGTCTCCGACAAACGTGTACTGAAGAAGTCTAYAGGAGATCATAAGGACACCTGAAATTTCAGCTCAGAATTCAGAAATTCTTTAAAACAAATCCTTTATATGTCAAACTCAAGGCTCGCGGCCCAGATGTGGCCAACCACAGCATTTTATGTGGCCCGCAAGCGCTTCGAAGATGTATTAATGTCTTAAAATAAGCTGCTTTAAAGCCAGAATCCCATAATGCACGTCAGTTACATTTACACACAAAATGACGGTATTCCACCATGAGGTGGAGGTACACAGTGTTGAAAAAAGCCGGCAGTCTACGAAATTTTCAGAAAAGTTACTGCATCTTTGCTCGCTACTTTTGCTGTGGCCCAGTTTACTGGGAAGTAGGAATTTCCCACTTGTTAGTCGTAAATTTAAACCGGATCGTCCCTCCAGTAGGAATTCCTTGTTGGAAAGTGGGAGAGTTCAGAATTCAAGATGGCCGCTACTCTCCACAACTCAAACAGTGACCAAAACTCTCTTACTTTTACTTTTATTAGTACTTCTTTATTATTTATTTCCCAGTTAGTCTCACACGTAGTACTTTACAGTGTTTATAAGACACTGTTTCTATACAGGAAATACCACGCACAGCTCAGTTAYTGTTTTCTAGCGATGCTCAGCTGTAGCAATGAAAGTAGGAATGTGATGTTTCAGGTTTTGTCAAAGTTAAACATGAAACGTGGAACTTAATTACAACTAACAATAAAGTTTATGTGGCCCTCAGTGAAAATGAGTTTGACACCGATTTACAAATGATAGCGACCTMAAAACTCTTACAGTGATAATCAGAATCAGTTTTATTACGATTGTAAATGAACAGGATTCACAGACTAGGAATTTGCTTCGGTGTAACGGTGCAATAGGTATCAAATATAACAAATGAAAAAAAAAAAACAAAGGATAAAGGAAAAAAATATATATATAAAACATATGTACACCAGTTCAATACAGTAATCAGAGCAGACAATATATTTGGAGTAGTGCAATTAGATCCAGTGATAAAAGTGACCAGAAAAAACAATATAGTCAGAGTTGTGCTGTTTTAGAAACMAGTGATTAAGTGGCCAAGGCAGAGTTTTGATGTCATGTCTTCTAAACGAAAAACAAAGAAATGTTATTGACCTTTTTTTGATGATGTCCCTCCACACAGGAGACTCATCTGATAGGTCTCTCAGGTTGTCGTTAGTTACAATCACTCCATCTGTCTTTTGTGCAAGCTGCATTATTAGTCTGTGGAAAGAAGGATAAGAAATGAGTATTATTATGATCATCACCTCTGCCAATAAACAAAGACTGTCATACAGTAATGATAAAGTCTAATTTAATTCTAAAACAAACTGAAGTATAAATTGAAGTTAATCACATAAAACCTTTTAAAAATGCTAGTTACTCTCAATTGTTCTTATACAGTATTACTATAATTATACTCATTTTAACCAAGAAGTCTAAAAGATTTTTTGATTACAAACCCAGGATCTAATGGGTTTTACTGTCAGAGACATTTCTTCTCATGGTGTTCCCCAAGGATCCATGTTAAATCCATGACATTTTTTAATATGCTCCCTTTTTAAATTCTGTCTTCAAAAGTATGAAACTTAATTCTATACCAATGTTTACATTTGTCTTCCTTTTAATTAGGTTTAACCTCCTTTCAAGGCTTTGTTGGATTGTCAACATTAAGTCATGAAGGTTTCTTAATATCAATTTAAAAAAATGAGAGCGATAATTATTGGACGTTCAGTTTGCAGACTCAGTCTTTTGCAGATTTTCTCATGAAACCTAACTATCGTAAGTAACGTCAACTTTTTTCGCTGTCATGCTTTTTCATGATTTGTCAAGCCAACTTATTAGGAACTATTTATTGATTTTATCATGTAAATATTAATGTAAATTCAGTTCCGTTTAAAAAAAACCTCAACGCAAGCAGTACATGATGGATTACCTGTGCCCATAATCCACCCAGAGTTTTTCTGCCTTCTAACAGTACCATGTGGCGTGCAGTCACTAACTGTTTAGGTCTCGTGTATTTTTGTTTGGTTCTTATCACATTACAATGTCACCCAAACCGTGCTACAGGCCTTTCCTGGACTGCATCCAATATTTCTGTTTTTTCACAAGTCACAGGTACTTCAAGAACGTAACCCACACAGAAATCGAGGCTTTGCTGTGTAACTTAAACTCTTTATTATTGTATTTTCTGTGACTAAATACTACTTTTGGGTAACCAGTGGTACAGTACTACTGATGGGTAGCCAGTGGTACAGTAGTACAGTACTACTGATGGGGAACCAGTGGTCCAGTAGTACAGTACTGCTGATGGGGAACCAGGACTACAGTACTACTGATGGGGAACCAGTGGTACAGTAGTACAGTACTACTTATAGGAAACCAGTAGTACAGTACTACTAATAGGAAACCAGTRGTACAGTACTGATAGGAAACCAGTGCTACAGTACTACTGATGGGGAACCAGTGGTCCAGTGGTCCAGTACTACTTATAGGAAACCAGTGGTACAGTGGTACTGATAGGAAACCAGTAGTACAGTATTACTAATAGGAAACCAGTGATACAGTAGTACTGATGGGTAACCAGTGGTACAGTAGTACTGATGGGTAACCAGTGGTACAGTAGTACTGATAGGAAACCAGTGGTACAACACTTCTGATAGGAAACCAGTAGTAGCGTATTACTGATTGGAAACCAGTGGTTTAGTACTACTGATAGGAAACCAGTGGTACAGTAGTACTGATGGGTAACCAGTGATACAGTAGTGCAGTATTACTGATAGGAAACCAGTGGTACAGTAGTAAAGTACTACTGATGGGGAACCAGGTACAATGGTACAGTGGTACAGTACTACTGATAGGAAACCAGTGGTACAGTAGTACAGTATTACTGATGGGGAACCAGGTACAGTGGTACAGTACTACTGATGGGTAACCAGTGGTACAGTAGTACAGTATTACTGATAGGAAACCAGTGGTACAGTAGTACAGTACTACTGATGGGGAACCAGGTACAGTGGTACAGTACTACTGATAGGAAGCCAATGGTACAGTAGTACTGATGGGTAACCATTGGAACAGTAGTACTGATGGGTAACCAGTGGAACAGTAGTACTGATGGGTAACCAGTGGAACAGTAGTACTGATGGGTAACCAGTGGAACAGTGGTACAGTATTACTGATAGGAAACCAGTGGTACAGTGGTACAGTACTACTGATGGGGAACCAGTGGTACAGTAGTACAGTATTATTGATAGGAAACCAGTGGTACAGTAGTACAGTACTACTGATGGGGAACCAGTGGTATAGTGGTACAGTACCTGTCATCATATGAGCTGTATCTCTTGCCTTGGACTTCCCTGGAGGGCGTATAGGCGAGCAGGCCCAGCTTCTGCAGCTCCATCAGATAGCGTTGCTCTAAGAGAGACAGGAACAAACTCTGTTTTGTCTGCTCAGAAGGCAAACACCTACACATTCACTGAGCAAACACAAGGCTGCTGTTAGTTTTCCTCTACATGCGACTACAAACACAAAGCAGGCTGCACTTCAGAGTTATTCTCTCTGTTGCTACACACACCGAAGTAAACAAACACAAACATACACCAAACCAAAACGAGTGTAGCTACTTTAGACTTAAGAAAGGTAACAATAGCTTCAGGACATATTGGAAATTAATGTGTACAACTTAGGAAATGGTGATCAACTGATAAATCACGCTTAAAAATGTTTTTTAATTTTCCTTATTAAAAAAATACTGAAATATTTAAAATAAAACAATAATTATTATCATTTACTTACACACACACACACACACACACACACACACACACACACACACACACACACACA